TGAACTTTTCCATGACATTCTAATTTATTGAGATGTACCTGTATAAGTATTTAGTACCATATTATTGTCATATTTTGTTGCTGTTAAAATGCTATTAAAGATGCAGTTTTGTAATTGCTATGAGTGTCAATTTTACGTGCCTCATGAAAAAATAAAATTACAAATGAAAATTTTGCCCCACAGAAGAGGGAAGTCGAGATCTTGAAAAGTCTGGAGCATGGATATATTGTTACTTATGCGGATTTATGTGAAGGTGTGTTTAAATTGTAGGAAAAGATGAATGGTAATGTTTCTTTATCATTTTATTTTAATTAAAGAGAAAAATTAACAATGAAGACATACTGTGTAGAGAAAGATAATAACATGAACAAAAAAAAACATCTGTAGTTTTTTGGCTGTGAAATAAAGCCATTACACTAATAAATAAATATAAGTTATATTACTGACTGGATATGTCTTTATTTAGATAAAGAAGCAGGACTCTTTTGTATTGTGATGGAGTATTGTGCAGGAGGAAATCTTTACCAGAGGATGAAAGCACAGAAAGAGAGAGGGTTTTTTGAAGAACAGCAGGTGAGTGTCTTATATAGACATAACATACTCTGGTCAAATGTACATTCATTCATTTTAATGAAGAGAAATATTTATGTACAAGTTTGAAATATTAATGTATAAGTTATGCATTGTTCCTTTGATAAATAGCTAATAGTAACTCTGTCTAAAGTGAGTAAATATGCTGTTAGAAAAATCCAATATTAAATTTGAGAAAGACAAACTCTGGTCCAGCTGTTTTTAGACTAACGAGAAGGTTTTGAGTTCTGAAAATTACAGGATGTTTTTATAGTACAGTGACTCCATATGTCAAACATTCAAGGGGATTTAGATTTCTCAGTTTATGATCCCTTTGAATATATTCTTACAGAGGCCCAGATGATGCTCTCACATAAAAAAACATTATAAAAAAGTAACATGTAGCCCATAGGTTACATTAATGTTCCACAATAGTACTAAAATGGAAAGTACTGAGGTAGTCCAGACCACCCTACAGAATATTGGTACACTTTTTAATGGGCAGCCTGTACCCTAGTACTGATGAAAGGCTCGAAACAACCTTCTAAGAGTAAAGATGCAGCCTTTTAGGATATAAAGTGATAGCTGAAAAAAAAAAATACAAATACATAGGTCTGCCATGTTTAACTACTTAGTAAATACTGTACTAATGAACTCACTGCTTTCTCCATGTTTATCATCTGTGTAGATTCTTGACTGGTTTGTTCAGATTTGTCTGGCTCTGCAGTATATTCATGAGAGGAATATTCTTCACAGAGATATAAAACCACAGGTAAACACTGACAAAAGCTCAATAAATCATTTGTCACCAAACCAAATAATATAAACTAATAATTAGTTTTCACCAAATAATAATTTCTGTTGTCATTGTAGAATGTTTTTCTGACTGAGGATGGTTACATCAATCTTGGAGATTTTGGATGCTCAAAAGCATTGGAAAGGTAAGTAAATAAATACTTAATTACTTACATAGACTCATACATAGATACATACACAGTTAAAATATATACTGTACAAACATACATAGATCTTTATTTCAATCACACTTCACTTTTTCTGCGATAACTAAACAAAGTCTAAATATAGTATTTCATAATATATTTATGTTATGATCTGATTACTAGCATAAAATAAGCTCCAGCAAATTAGATAGTGTACTGTATGTTTAAAATAGTACGCATGCAATCTGGGCAATGGGCATACTACTATAGATTTCAACTACAGTATATATTTCAACTACAGTAAAGGGAAGTATTTATATTGGAACACTTGTTGGCAATTCTTGAATTTGGTGAAAGCTTAGGATTTAAGGGGCTCAGTTGCCATACTGGACAGTTTAAGATGCATCCTTAAGGCATGGATCCCCCAGCCTGACAATAACCAATTATTTCTTAGCTATAGTCAAGTCAAGTCAAGTTACCTTTATTTATATAGCGCTTTTAAC